AAAAAAAAAAAGAATTTTTGGGGTGATGTTGCAGCAACTTGAACGTGCAGCAAACAGCACCAGAGGAGGCTTTTTCTCTGTGACTCTTGGAAAAAAAAAAAAAACAAAAAGAAACAAACCAAGAAACCTTCTTCTGCTTCCTGTGCTCAGCAAGGAAAACCCTGGATCCTGATGGGAGCTGACATTCCAGGAAAAATTTGGGAATTGGGGTTTGTGCTCTCAGCTCTGCCATGGGGCCACCACCACAACAACAACAAAAAAAACCCCAAAAAACAAAAAACTGGGGCTTTTCTGCTGGCAATTTTCTTTATTTTTTGCAGGGAGAAAATGTAATAATTTTATTTTATTTTATTTTTTTTTTTTTCTCAAGGATTTATTCTGAATTTGTATCCAGGACAATTCTGTCTGAGAGTGGTGGTGAAGCCCTAAAATCCCCTGGGACAAGAAGTGGGGCTGGATTTTGGATTTGTCCCTGCCCCTGCCATGGATGGAGGGAACAGCTCCTGTCACTTCTCACACAGTTTAAATGCTGGAGTCCAAACATTTCTTGTGCCAGAGACTTGTTCCAGAGCCTGGGAGCTCCCTGCTGGATGAGCAGGATGGGCAGATTTTCCCTGGATTTTGGGGAGAATTTCTCTGAGTTTTGTGGAGAATTTTCCTTGGTTTTGTGGAGAATTTCCCTTGGCTTTGTGGCGAATTTTCCTTGGTTTTCGGGGAAATTTTCCCTGTTTTTGGGGAGAATTTTCCATGGTTTTTAGGGGAACTTTCCTTGGGTTTTGGGGAGATTTTCCCCTGTTTTTTTTTTAGGATTTCCCCTGGGTTTTGGAGGGAGGTTGCTGCCTGACCTGAAATTCCAGACCCCAGCAGGGTGAGAACAGCAACGTGCCATCATTAATGTTGCTCCTCTTTCCCCACGGTTCTGGAAAATCTTCCTGCTTTTCCCCACATGGAAAAGCTTCTCTTTTGCCAGCTCTTACCCCAAGTTTTGCAGTGGAGCTGTTGCTATTTTAAAATTTTTATTATTATTATTATTATTTTTTGGAGGGGTTTTTGCTGAGGGGTTCAGCAGGAGTTCAGCCTCGTGATCGATCTCCTGGATTAATAATGCAGGAAGATTTTCCAGAACAATTGGAGACGAAGATGAAATTTGCAGGTGGATTTTTACACCTCTGAAGGCCTTGAAAAAAAACCTGAAGGGTGAAAAAGGAAAAAAAAAAAAAAAAAAAGAGAGAGTTTCTCCTCTCTCCAGCCCCTCAGTGTGGGTGTGTTGGGCTGTGGATCCCATTTGGGTATCTGAGGTCAGGCAGCAACTTCTGCCTTTGAGCTGGGGATTGTCAGAGCATCTTCTCCAGGAAATATTGCCAGGAAACAGATGGAGACATCTCTTTGCTTCAGCATCCTCAGAGCTGCCATGAGCTGAGGAAGATTTTTTTTTTTTTCCCTCTGCAGCACGAGGAGCTGTTTGCTGTAAATACTGCACCTATTCCATGGATAAGTGGTGAACTCGAGCTTTTCCAGAGTTTTTTTTGGTTGTTTTTTTTTTTCCCTTTGCCACTTTTGCAGGCTTGGAATTCCCTTTTAAATCCACAACACACAAGACTTTTTCTTTCCCTGCAGTGATGTTCCCTTTTTCTATATCCTGACATTGAGATACAGAAAAAAAAAAAAAACAAAAAAAACCCCACTTTTGTGTGTTCCTGACGTGACACCTGGGACAGGTGGGTGGAACAGAGTCGCTTTTTTTTTGTTTTGTTTTGTTTTTGGGGCATTGTTCACCTGCCCAGGGGAAAAGTGGGAGAAAAAAAAAAAAAAATTATTCTTTTTTCAGGTGGAGAAGCAGGGAGTGAGCTCATGGAGTGATCTGTCTTCCTGTTGGCTCCTGTCAGAGGCAAAAAATGCTTCACATTTAGACATCAGCAGATGCAGGAGGAAATTCCTGCNCCAAATCTGGGAGGATTTTTAGGGACCATGGAATCTGAATTTGTGTCCTGCTTTGGGAATCTCTTGGGTTTTTTTTTTTTGGTTTTTTTTTTTTTTTTTTTTCCATGAGGATCTGCTGCTGCTGCCTGGCTCTGTTTGGGATCCTGGATTTTCAGGGTTCCTGGCAGGAGAAGCAGAAAAAAAAAAAAAAAAAAAAAAAAAAAAAAAAAAAAAAAAAAAAAAAAAAAAAAAATCAGAGTCCACATAGGATGATAAACTCAGGAGGCAGCTGGGAAAGCTCATGGAGAAGGGAGAGGAGCAGCTTTTTGCTGCCTTTTCTCCACTGTAATTTTCAGGTCACTTAAGGGAATATTTCCTTGTGCTGCCTCATCAGCCACATCCACTGACAGGGAGCTGCCAGCTTTTCCTGGGATCACATTCCTGACAGAGCCTCCCTGGGGGCTCAGCTCAGTTCTTTAGGTCACTGCAGGAGCTGTTTTGTACAGCTCCTCACAGTTTATTTTGAATTTAAGATAGGGCAGGTGGGGTTAGAATAGATTCTGTTTTAGTTCTGTACCGTGGTGATGTAAAAAAATAAAAATTCAGCGTTGCAGAAAATCTTTTTTTTTTTTTTTTTTTTTTTTTTGGTTTGCATGTTTGGAGCCTGCTCTGGGAAATTTCTATAGCTATGTATAAATAGCAGCACTTTGGTTGGTTCAGGTTGGCCAATTTTATGCCTACCAAATACTTTGGACTTTGGAGAGAGCAGCATTTGCAGGCTGGGATTCTAATTGAAAATTCATGAATGAGCACTAAAAACTTGCAATTTAATTGCTTTCCCTTCCCCTTGTTCCCCTGTGGAGAAAAGCCAAGTTTAGCTGTTGAAAATTTGTGCACTTAATTCTTTGTGAGCTTTTATCTTTTTGGGCAGAGGGTCAGGCCCAAAAAAAAATGCAATTTCTGGGCTCCTGCTCCTCTCTCCAAGGAGCTTCCCAAGATTTTCTGTGCCACAGAGATCCAGGTTTTCCTTTGGGAATGCTGAGTTCCTGTGGAAATGCAGCCTGGCTGGGATGGTTTCCAGCAGGCAGAGTGGGAATAGGATCACTTTGGCTTCTGAAGGAAAAAAAAAAAAATTAAAAAAAAAA